ACCCTCCGACCTTAAGGAAGTCGTCCACGAGGAACAATCTGCTCGACGTTAACCTTAAGTGCAGAGAGGAGGAAAGCGTCGATGAGCGTCGTTGAATGGCTACTTACGATTTGTTATTACTTCAGATTTCGAGGATCGATCAGAATCCTGCGGGAGTTTGATGGAACGGAATTCCGCAAGTCCTCCAAGAAATTGTGGTAATTCGTACCCATTTAAAGCTTCTTACTGGTCGTTCCAATTAATTAGTAAAGGTCCTGATTCCACGATTTTACCTGAATATTTAATTTACCGCTTGACCCGTTTTTTTTTCTTCACGTTAGTGATTTTTCAAACCGCACAACTGGGCCCGTTTGATTTGCAGCGAGAGGACGTTGTTAATAGACATATATTATCATACTTGGAAACCGACCTCACGGGTATCTAGGTTAACCCTCCGTTCTAACCTTCCATTAGGGAAGTTCTTTACTCGGAACAACTTGCTCGGCATACACCTTAAGTGCACAGAAAAAGAGGTATAACGTCGATACATATTGCCGCAAGGCTTCTGAAACTTGCGGGTTTAATTTATTCATTCCCTTCTCGAAATTACATTGTTTAAAACTTAATATTACTATCTTGAATAAGCACCCTTTCTTTGGAAATTGACGTGTTGTTCATTTTTCTAATTTACTTAGTTGAGTAATATTACCTAAGTTTATAGTAATTAAAAATCGGCCTTAAGCCCGTGGACTTCGTTCGTCGCCTTAATATCGACTATATATCCCTTCTTAATAAAAGTCGCAGATAACTGGGTTTATGATTTTCTATAAATGATCCGAGCCGAGGTGATCTGCTATTCGTCGAGAACCAGAGGTCTAAGATCCTATTTACAATTAAGGGCTTAAAATACATTCGTGTCTGGTGGGGATCCTTGATCGAAAATATTTTACGGTCGTCCTTCTAGTCGGCGTCGGTACTCGCATTAAAAAGGAGAATAATATAAAAGTATAGTTGCCATCAATGAAGAACCGGCACAATTCCATTAGCCATTGATTAAATTTACCATTGATTTAATTATTGATTGACAAAGTCGGTCTCGACTGGGGAATAGACTTCAATCAGTCGTTTCATTCTCGAAGGGCTTCGGCTGATCAAGAGTTTTGGAAAGAGGGAGAGAAACGTTTGAGCTTTTCAAAATCGACGTTTTCGGGCTTCCTTCGGTAATGAAAGGTGATTCGTGCTGGAGATGCGGTAGAATGGGATTCGACGTTTAAAATTAACCTCGCGATCGGTTATTCTCGCGGTGCAACGTGACGCATGGCGGGAAAAGAAATGAGAGAAAGGTTTGACATGGTTTCGGAAAAGCTCGACCTCGTGCTTGCGCGGCACGTGAGGTCGGCCCAGCGGAGTTCCATGAAAATATTAACGCGATTTCGCAATTGCGCCGGAACACGTTCAAAGCTACGAAAATAATCCGCCCCCGCACGAGGGTCGAGTGGGTGATGAACCTGTCGAAGGTAAAAATAAACCAATAAGGAGGGAAGAAAGATTGCCGGCTCGGCTGGACTTCTTTGCGGCGAGGCGAAAATCGGCAACTTGCTAAAAAGCTGTTTTAGCTTTTATTCGTGCACGATGTTTATAATATTTTTACACACGGTACATATAGTTCGTTTCCCGTCTCTGGTTTTCATGCTCCGTTTCCAGGAATAACTCACTTATCGATTTTTATTATAGCAGTGACCCGAGGAAATGCGTTACAGACAATTATAGACGATGTCCCCTTTAATGTAAAGTAGGGAAATAGGCTTAGCCGTGGGAAGATAGGTGTTGATCGTCCTGCAGTACGCATTACAACCATGAAAAGGTTATGGCAAGGAATACAGTTTATGTTAAGTCACTTGGAGATGGAGATTGACATGTTATGACAGCAGTCAGTGGAGTAGATGCCGCTGTGGTAAGCGTTCCAGGAGTAATGGCGTCCGTAGCAACCGTTGCCAAGGGAGCCGCGTCGCTAGCAACCGTTGTCAAAGGAAGCGCGTCCCTAGTGACCATTACCTGGGCGATGTAATATAAACTCTTTTTAACGTCTATGAGAGGGGTAAGTGAAATCCTCGTGTGTCGGGGTTTAGAGTTGAACATTTGGCAGGAAACCTCACTTCAGCTATCGTTGTTACGAGAAAAATCGGCCGCGTTAAAACAAACAAAAAATGAAACGAAAAGGCCCCGAATGAGGCGTGCTTTCCGACACCCACGCACCATCTGTCTTCGTTCCCCGATAATTTCCCCCTGGACCTATTTCTGATTTTTATGCCCGGCTCCTCCAGCCATCCAACCGGATGTCCATCCACGGCACCCATAAAGTTCGGTCGCATTTGGCCTCGAGAGCGGATGTTTTCGGAAAGTCCACGAAGTTCGGAAAGCTCTGCTCTGGTGGTAAATGAAAGCTTCTGTTTAGTTTTGCCGTGCCTGTGGGAGCGTGCGGCTGCACGTTCCGTTCCGAAATAGACCGTGGAATGAGATCCACTGGAAGATCCACGACCACCGCGCGATTCGTCTCTGTAAAAGCTCGGCAGAAGCTCGAAGGAAGTTACTGATCCGTGTTTCGTGGAGCTTAAAGTCGAAAGTTGATTTTCACGGACGATTTCAAAGGACTCGTCCCTTTTCTAGAAACTTAAACTTGTCGTTGCGGAAAAGTCGACTTTCAAGCTCGAAAGCTCCTCGTGTCGGCGGGAAAGCGAGCCGAAAATATCGTTCGAATCGGAAATTCAACGCGGTTTTTTAACATTTTAAATGGAGTCCAATGATCAGTGTCGGAATTTTTTAATCTTCACTAATTTCAAGCGTATGTGAGTGTTCGGGGAAAATTCAAATAAAATCAACGGGGAGAACAGACGTCTTGAAAAATATTTAAAAAAATGACACGCCTGTGATTAATGGAGGCAAGGATTTCTTTTTTGGCAATAGAGATTCTTTCGATACGTACACTCGTCGGATGAACGCGCGTTTCCTCGTCCCAATTGTTCTTGAGAATGACTTTGGAAGTTTTCATGAAAATGTCTGCTACAGTAGTGCGTTCGTATTTCGGAAACGGGAAGAAGAAGCAGATCTTCGGATCCACCCTCTCCACGGTAACGAAGCCTTCACTTTGCTTAACGTTTTATGGGCTGATCCGTCAATTAATTCCACGCAATGCACGTGTTACTCCATAATTACCGTATCGAACATCAGGGGTGTTGATAAGCACGATACGTTTGGCCCTGTTGCGTGCAAATTTATATAAGCGATTAACGCGACTAAGTATTTCCGACTTTGTTAAGTAGGACGCCAGATAAGTGGCTGGTCTAAATAGGAGCATATTAGGCCTAAATAATTCTTGAACCGTCTCCAAGCTTCCGCATACTAACACGATGACTTGAAACAGAAGGGAGACCTCCAACTTTAGAACCAGACTTTGAGAGCCTCTGGTTTCATTAGATCGTTTTTTCATTTACGACGCAAACGTGTTCCCTCCTCCTGTGTTTGCCTCTCCACTTTCATTCTTCCCGAAAACCCGAGGCGCCACATGTAAATCACTTCTTTCCTCACGAGTCGAGTTAGAAGGATCAGCTGGCCGTGAGCTGAGTACAAAAGTTGATGTGGCGACCGGAAGCATAGGATCGAACCTAAATGGCATTACCAGGGAATCTCCTTTCAAAAATCCCAAAAGTGTCCATCAATATACATGAGGTGAAGGGCGGACCCGCTGGCAATCGTTAGAACCCCCGTTTAGAGGGTGTTAAATGTGTCTATCATCCGTTGATCCGAGAAATCCACAGACCACGTCGTTACTCTGATAACAGCGAATCGCGTCTCCCCTATGATGCCTCTTTGTTAGGGCCAGAAGGCGTCGAGGGATGGAACTCCGAAACCTCGAAGCAGGCACCGCAAGGAGGTCTCATGAATAAGGGATCGATTCTCAAATTTGCATTCGAGTAGCTAGGGCCGGCCCCTCCCACCCGGGTGACCCACACGCTTTTCCGGAGATGGAGGCCGATAATAAGAAATCGATGAGGAAGACCGATCCCGGGGAGGGCCGAGTTATTAGTCGAGATTAGGAGTCTCCTCGTAGGCATCGCCAGGGCCTCGTTGGCGAAGGCGAGGTTGCCTCGGCTGCAGTTCTATTAGGGAAACAGGCCCTACTTAGGAAAATAAGGAGGGATCCTAACCTCAGAATACCACGATGGGTGCGACGGGGCGTCTTAAAAGTGGACGTTACCCTGGAAACACCGCAGTGCTCCGGTGAGGACCCAACAACCCATCAGCGTTGGTGATGTGGCCCTTGAGTCCGTGCATTGGTGGAGGAGCACTGTCCTCGTCTCGAATACGTGGTGGCCTTGATTCCTAACTAAGTGTGTGACGCGGGGATCGACAAAGTACTTGGAAGACACTTGGATTTTGTGGTTTCGACTCTGTGTGGTACTTTTGATGAAGGAGGATGTAGGCATCCGTGCGTTGGATAAATGCGTTATCGGGTTTTTTTATGGCGATGTAGCGAATCAGGATGCTGAATTCTTGTTAAACTCAGAAATGGAAAGAGCCTCGATACAAGTTGGGGTTAGGACCCTTTCTTAAGGGGTGTCACCTATGACCCGCTACGCGGTTAGGACGATCGCAAAGTTCCGTGACCTTGCCGGTTAGAGTTTTAATCCTCGGTAAACTTGTACGTGGGACTGAGGAAAAGCCTGTTAGTTAAGTTCTTGAACTTGAAGCGACCGGAACATGTCCCAGACTGTTTACGATGAGTAGGAAAGTGGTCTTAGGCTGTCCGACAGGGACGTCTTCACGGCTTGATCGTAAGAATCAGGCTAGAACGGTAAGAGGATAGGGTTGCTGTGATGATGCATCATAGGTTACTCGATACATTAAGATGATTTTGTGCTTAGAATAGAACCTAATGCATACATAAATTTGCACACCACAACATGCCTTTAAATGTGCCGATGGACCCCTAACTGACCCAACTATGTTTATCTGTTTTCCAGGTTTTGTCCCTTGGTGCCGATGTCCTTCCCGAGTACAAACTACAATCACCACGCATCAACAAGTGGACCATTCTGCACTATTCCCCCTTCAAGGCAGTCTGGGACTGGGTGATCCTGATCCTCGTGATGTACACCGCCATTTTTACACCGTACGTCGCAGCGTTTCTGCTTTCCGAGCCTGACTACACCACGAGAAAGTCGAAGAAGTACGGCGACGACCCAATCGTCATCATCGACCTGATAGGTTAGTGCCAGGGTAGATCATTCCTCGAATCCCTAGATCTTAGAAGGCGAGCTTGTCCGAGTGTAAATCGAAGGGCGCAGTGCAAGGCAAAACTATTTTGCGGAATCGAAACGGACAATTGTTCGCATGTTTGGGACCACAGGATTGAATAGAGTATATTTCCTAGAATATGTTGCGGTCTGGACTCCCCAGTAGATAGGAGAAACGTGGTATGGTTTTAAATCCGGCCATCTTGAATCACCCTGTATAGATAGTCACCGCGAAACACGTAATGTGAGAACAATCCGTTCGTGTCATTTTATCAAACAATGTAGCTTTATCTTGCACCTTGCCCTCACCGTTGCTGATACTCAAACCCACGAACTTGTCCAATTTGACCCGCAGTCGACGTCACCTTCATCGTCGACATCCTCATCAACTTCCGCACGACCTTCGTCAACAGCAACGACGAGGTCGTGTCGCATCCTTGGAAGATCGCCATCCATTACCTGAAAGGCTGGTTCGTCATCGACCTCGTAGCCGCCATTCCCTTTGATCTTCTGCTTTTCGGCTCCGACACTGACGAGGTATGCATGGATTGAAGAGATTAGAAATTCAGTCTGCCTCACTGAGATAAATCTCGAAAAGATTCCGCATTTCTGTTCCCCGGGGGGGAACGCGAGTTCTAATCTAACACGGTTTTTGGGAATCTGGTCGGGATTTGTGGGCGGGTCGCGAGGGGCGTGGTTTGAGCGACGAAACAGCCAATGGGGACTCCCTAATCGTTGCTGGGGCGTGGTCCAAGCTCTCTTTGATCGGTTATCACGCCCCAATGCAGAGGAATCCAGGAACAGAGATGCGGTTTCCTTTTTGGGACCTTGGCACGTACTCGAAGAATGTCAGTGTTAGATATCGTAAGACTCATGGAGGTGTCGAAACCCTGAGGACGCCTCTTCGTATAGATGTCTTCTGTGTCAAAATGGGCGCTTAGTATCGTTTCTTGTTCTCTCCTCTCTTACAGTTTCTCGGTGTTGGTTGATTTCTTTCTGTTTATATATATATTTTTTCTTTCTTTAAATCTCCTCCGCCTAATTTTCGAATTCGAACGCTCGGTCCGGTGTCGAGGTCCTGGACACGTGAGGATGTGAAGCCCTTCGGTGTGTTGAGAACTTTGAGCGTCTTTGGCACATGTATGAAATATACATATATAATACGAAATACATATGTATATGTTTATAAGTGCACGTTTATGTACTCGTACAGAGTTTTGGTAACGGAATACCTCCCCGAGTCTTCTTAATTACGTCCACGTTTTACATTTCGACTTTTTCCCGAATAGTGATCCGGCCACTTTTGAGACCGTTCTTCTTTTTTTTTTTACCCCTACGTTTACGTTCTTTTTTTCTCTCCCCCGATACTTTTCATTCGTTTTCTTTACCTCGATTTTCTTTTTCTTTCTCTTTCTCTCTTTTGATCTCTCGTTCCCCTTGGCAGACGATCCCGAAGTCGTGCCCGTCCTCGGCGATGAGATTCTTTTTGACTTTTGGGAATTAAGCCCCCCCGGTCCGCTATCTCGGGGTCCGAGTTTGTTGAAAGTGAAAAAGAGGTATATTCGATATTTAAAGATAGCCCACGTTTTGAGACTCCGGACTCGTTCGGAATGGGATTTCTAAAGAGGTTTGCGGGGGAGGGTAGGTTATCAAAATTAATTGATCGACCCACCGATAAGGAAACTCGAAAAAGACAAAGAAATTTAACCTCAGTTTAACGTTTTCGTAGCTCGGCTTGGACAAGGACGAGGTTAGTCACAGCCTGAAGTTTCCACGCAGATTTGATAACCGATTTTGCCGTAAATCCATCACCACAAAACTTATTTCTGTCTCTGTCTTTCTCTCTCTCTCTCTCTCTTTCTCTTTCTTACTCTTTCTATTTCTTTCTCACATATATTAATTAATATTATTACAAATATAAATACCAATATAATATGTACTCAACGCTTACTACACCACACTCTTCTGGATTTGTTTCTGCACAGTCGACTCGGCTCTCGGTGATAACTCGAAATTGAACCTTCATTCTCGAAAGCGATATGTATACGCGCAATCGTCACACACGAGCCTTAGCACTGTGTTATCTTCCTCTTCTTCTTCTCTTCTGTTCCCTTCCGTTCTCTTCTTTTCTCTTCTCTCTTATTTCTTTTCTCTTCTCCTAATCACACAACAAGGCGATCTCGAAGAACAACAGTGGACAAAAGAAAGCGAAAAAAAAGAGATAATAACTCATACATCGTGAACGCCATTGCTTTTTGGACGATCCCGGGGCGATCCATGCACGCAAAACACTCGCGCTTGTGCTGCAAGAATTTCCGAAAGGAAAACCTTCCATTGTTCACTGAAGTAATTGACAAATTGCTGGTTTGACCCGTACGGAAGGGGGAGCGCTCGAAACGGGGGTGGGGGCGGGGCTTTGGGCCTTCGGGCCGATCGCGGACGGCAAGGTCCTCCACCTCGAGTTTTCAATTCGGCTTTTCGGCTCGAATAAGAGGTATAAATCTCGGTACGCCACCACACACGTACACTAACACGTGGCACACTGCTAAGAGAGCCTGAAAATCGAAGGTACGGCGCGACTCGGCGGAGTTATCTGTAAAACTTGTAAGCTTCATAATGGCGGTTTGGTTCCCCAATAGACTCCCCTTTCGGTTGGTCCCACTTCCGTTTGTTGCCTTCTTCTTCTTTGTTGTCTTATGCTTACGTTTGCAAGCTGTACAGAGGATAGCCCTGTTTGAATCGGCCGATCGATCGGTTGTTTGCTCGAGATCTGTTGACAGATTTTCTTCTCCATTTTTCTTTTTCTCCCTTTATTGCGCTTTCGTACACGTGACTACCATTTCGCCGCTTCAGCGCTTCGTCTTCTTTCTTCCCACCTCTCTCTCTCTTTCTCTCTATCTCTCTTTCTATCTCTCACTCTCTCTCTCTCTCTCTCTGTCTCTTCGTAATGTGTATACTGTTAATGACAACTAGTCATATCTAGGCTGAATTTTGGATTGGTTGATTGGACTCATACTTAGAAAGTCTGCATGATAGAGATTAACTGCAGAGACAACCGATCGAGATTCTCGATTAACCGTAGGTAGTCATTTATGATTAATCGTAAACGGCGAACCGCCATTTTCGAAAGAATAATGCATCTCCGAATTTTCAACCCTGTCGGGCGAGTTTAAATCGACCGCCATTTTTCCTACTTAGGAAGACTCGCTTCCAGAAGTACCGGTCGATGGATGTTATCTTCTTTCGAATAATGCAACAAGGATGCGCCTTTACTTTTAGACTACGGTTTCGTTTCTTTTCAAATTGGATTTCTCGAAATGGAGAATACGCTAAATTTGGTCAGTATCCGCATAACGTGATTCAATTCCCTTCTCTAACCCGACCGTCCCGAATCAATGCAAAAGAGGCATTCAAAGAGCTGATTTTCCATGTCCGACGTTTTCATAAATCGCGTGCAAAGAAACGTTTTTTTTTTAATCCTAACGTTTTTGAGCATAAATTAGACGCTTTCAAAATATTCAAAGATCTACTTTGGACGTCTTTTGCATTTTCCGTTTCCCGAAATTCCATTCCCCGAATGAAAGGACCGAGGCAGATGAATTTCTGCAGTTGTAGATTGAAAAATACCACCGGCTCGTCAATTAATTTAATACATGCTTTTTAAAAATTTTCACTTCCTAGGAAACGTAGATTAACATCTGTAGACGTGCCGTTGGAATTGAATTCTTTTTTGTATCATTTCTATTTGTAAAATACCGAGGAAAGATTCGAAAGACGTAGACAACATTTTATCTACTAGAGAAGGACTAAAGATTCTTTTGGGAAGGAAAAAGTTAACTTATAATAATTAATTACTTGCTTTACGTAACCATTTACATGTGGTTTTCTTATAGTATGATTTTGACTGCAGTAGACTTGCAGACAGTAGTAATTCCGAATACAAAGATACTTTCCTCTCCTCTCCATTCCCCACCGTTGACTTCCCGGCCATCTCTCTTGTGACTGCTGTTTCTTTGGCAATAATATTAATAACCGTATCTTTATTGTTGCCGTTCCTGCGTGCGATCCAATAGCCGGGACCGTTTGTCTCCAAGTTTTACTGAAAACTGGCTCGACGACGGCATTATTAATTGATTTAAATCGATGAAAGATCCGATGAGGATAAAAGGAAGTAAAGGAAGTCGCGGCAGTTGGGTCGACTCAGGCGGGGCAATGGGCGAATAAAAGAATATGCAAAGTGGCGGTAAGAACGCGTCGAAAGAGGACAAAATTCGCGCTAATTTCAGACTACGACGCTGATTGGTTTGCTGAAAACCGCACGGCTTCTCCGATTGGTCAGAGTGGCGCGAAAGATCGATCGCTACAGCGAATATGGCGCCGCCGTGTTGCTCTTGTTAATGGCCTCCTTCGCGCTAATCGCTCATTGGATGGCCTGTATCTGGTGAGTGAGTTTTCACGTAAATCCTGTAATCCGCCCCCCGAATTGATTAAATGAAATTTCTACACTCGCGAGATGCCCGGAAATGTTTGAGGAAAGAACATTCCAGCGAAAGGTGGTCCGCCATCTTTGACGCCTCGATGGTCCGAATAGTCGGACGAAATCGACGTCGAGCCGGTATTTCGAGAATTGGTTCAATTTGTCCAAAATTCCACGAAACGGAGAAGACTCAGAGACGCGGCGAATAATCGATTTGCAGAGAAAAATTGCCCTCGGTACTGCTTTACTAATGGCCTCGTTAGAACTGCCTGTATTCAGGGAGCCAGAAATAGTGTAAATAGTCCTCCAATTAAAGTAATAATGCGAGGGAATTAATTATCGTTAATTGAAGAAGGGCGAACATTTGCGCGAGTAGGAAAAGAGTCTTGGGGGCTTGCGACATTAACAGAGGCAACGGAAGGTACTTTGAAGTAGACAACAGACGAAGGCGAGAAAAAATAATAGCCGTCATGGTTAATCGGCATTCGAACGGTATTATGCCCTGCTATTTTACGTGATTTTAATTTGCGATTGAAGTGAAAAGGTTGCGGGCGTTTGAACAATTTATGATTTCACCAAGTATAGTTTAGAAGTCACTGTTCGTAGCGTTTAAATGTAGTTGTCAGTAGTTACATATGCGCTACGTGTAACGAGCCTCCCGTAAAATTGTTTACAGCGATAGAGGTCTTTATCGTAAACCTTTCAGCGTTTTCAGTGTTTTCAGTTGATTAACGCTTATGCTTAGGTACTCGTGTCCCCTTTGATGAGCACTAGCGACGTTCGTCGTTTGGATATGCGTTTAAAAAAGATCCGTAGATCCACAGAAAGAAGGGTCAGTATTGGCGACGCCGTCGAAAAGGACGCCATTATTGGGCGCATTAACGTGGGCGGGAAAGGAATGTTTCATTTAAAAGTCAATCAGAAATTGTTCCGGTAGCTTTAAAGTTTTCGCACCGAACTGGAAAGATCCAATGATTGGAAAAGTTGCCGAGCTCTGACGTGGGCGCCACCTATTTGACTTCATCACGTAACTTTCGGGCCGAAGACGTGCGCCACCTCCGCAATTAACTCGGCTTAATTGCCAACACTGATCGTTTCCGAGTCCTGATGATTATCCCAAAAAGTAGTTTCGAAGTGAATCTCCCCAAACCACCGAGATGCGGCTGCGATTTTGACCGATTTCCGACTGTTCTTTTATATTTCTGCAGGTACGCGATCGGCAACGCCGAGCGGCCATCTTTGAAGAGCAAAGTCGGCTGGCTGGATATCCTCGCCAACGACACGCACCAGTTTTACACACATAACAACACCGGGGGACCGAGCATCAAGGCAAGCGTTAAACCATTAAAAAGTACAACGTCCCTCCCTCTAAAAACATGGCAAATTAGAAGTAAGAACCGTCTTTATTCTTCGACTTTCAGAGCCGTTACGTCACGGCCCTGTACTTCACGTTCAGCAGTTTGACCTCCGTAGGGTTCGGCAATGTGGCGCCCAACACCGACGCCGAGAAGATCTTCACCATCATCGTCATGCTGATTGGATGTGAGTTGGAGTAGTTTGAGATAACGAGATATTGCCAAGAATAACGCGGTACTATTGAAAATTCAATCCAACAGCTCTAATGTACGCCAGTATCTTCGGAAACGTCTCGGCTATCATCCAGCGACTTTACAGCGGCACTGCTCGGTACCACACCCAGATGCTGAGGGTCAGGGAGTTCATCAGGTTCCACCAGATCCCAAACCCGCTGAGGCAGCGCCTGGAAGAGTACTTCCAGCACGCGTGGACATACACCAACGGCATCGACATGAACAGCGTTCTGAAGGGGTTCCCCGAGTGCCTCCAGGCCGATATCTGCCTCCATCTCAACAGAAATCTGCTGAACAACTGCAAAGCCTTCGAAGGAGCCAGCCCTGGCTGTCTGAGGTGGGCACTCTTATCGATATGGCAGCTCTAAGGACATCGTCAGCTCGATTCATATCGATAACGATATAACCTTGGCGAGCGTCACGTAACTTGGAAGTTACACAGCCTTGTAAACGAAACGTTTCGAGTGCTGGTACCCGCGGTCTAAAACTGCTTACTTGACCTGGCACAATAATCACGTAACACGGATGTAGGCGGGCAACGAGTGTTACCTAACGACTACATGAGTATTACATGCGTTATGTAATGTAAGCCATAATCGATACTTCGGAATGTTACGATGTCAATAGATGCTTACAAGAAAGGTAGATGCTTAGATTACAAGGTACGGTGTTTTAGAAACAGTCATTCTAAGGGGTCGATTCAAATCATCAGCTTGAGTATCGAAGTCCCTTAAAGAGTAACTCGGTCAGTGATTATTTTTCAGGACTTAGTTTACATACGATTTAGTGACTTAGTAACTGAAGTTAGTAACGCATTTCGATTGCAGGGCCCTCTCGCTGAAGTTCAAGACGACTCACGCGCCGCCTAGCGACATCCTGGTACACCGAGGCGACGTGCTAACCTCTTTGTACTTCATCTCCCGGGGGAGCATCGAGATAGTCAAGGACGACATAGTGATGGCCATTCTGGGGAAGGACGACATCTTCGGGGAGAATCCTTGCATATACCCCACAGTAGGGAAGTCGTCCTGCAACGTTAAGGCCCTGACTTACTGCGACCTGCACAAGATCCACAGGGACGATCTGCTGGACGTCCTTGCCCTCTACCCGGAGTTTTCCAACCACTTCAGCCAGAACTTGGAAATTACTTTTAACATGAGAGACGTTAGTCCGTAATTAATTAATATAGTTAATTACGTTAATAAGTTAGATGAAGGGATTGAATGATTATGCGGCCGGATTAATCCAGGATTTCTTTCTCGGTCCTTCTGAAAGGACGCTTAGACGTTATTTCATGGCGTTTCAGGAGGAACAAGCAGGAGTCGACCCAATGTCGGCAAGGTTCCCGGTCAGCACCCCAACAGACGTCGAAGTTGATGCCAGGAGATTCGCTTTCCGTCCACCAAGATATCGCCGAGGTCCTGGCACCAACCTGATACCCACCGGTCGTCAGGACTCTTTTCAGGACGATCAAGACGACTAGTAAGTCTTTGTTTCTTATTATGAGACATAAATATGTACATTCAGAGTCTATATGACAGGTGTTTCTTCTTTTAGTGAGCGAGGAAGTGGTCACGGTATCTTGGAGTTCAACACGGACAAGGCTGGCCAGGATGTAACTCCTTTGAACCTGGAGTTCGACGAGCCGAAGCAAAGGAGTTCCACCTTGAACTCGATAACTGGTAAGAAGTTGGGCGCCCCTTTCATCAAGTTCGAAAGGATTTAGGAGTTATGCTTAACGAGTTACCGTAATGCCTCCCTCCTCGATTTCTTTCCCATGGTCTGAGGAATGTTGAACATGCACGACGATAGATCCTTTTGGTCCTAACTCGGCCGATGAATTCAATTACACATTTTGCGTCTCCTTTAAGGGATTGTCTCATTTACTGTACGAAGAAAGATACATTTACTTACTCTTTATATATTGAAGCTGATGCATTTTAGGAGAAATTTTATTTACCTTTAAGTAGGGTTATCGAAGTAGATGTTCTTCTCATCTCCATCTTGTACAAATGTTCATCCTTTTATCGCAACCTGTCCATACGTTGTCTACCAATCTACTCTGCCTCTTCTTCTTTGTCATTTGCTATAAACGCTAGTTTCTTTTTCATTCACTTTCGGTAGAAATTCGAGTCGACCACCTTTGTATAAATTATCTAAATCTCTTCTAAATTTTTGATTTCTTCTTTTTCTACGTAAAGACCTCCATGTTTATTCTCTATCTCTCTCTCTCTTGACCATTCCCAGAGCCCGTGTAAGTAATGGCATCGCGCTTTGCGTTTGAGTTTGTTTCCCAGTTTGTTAACACCTTCAATCCTGGTTGTTCAGGCATGCTAACCCATCTCAAGCGCAGCATTCCGGACCTTCGCCATCACAAGATTCATCTGCAGCCATTGACCAGTCACGACTATCTCGCGAAGCAAAGTAAGTACTAACTGGCCAGCACCTCGAATGAACGGCAGAAATCCATGCCTCGGAAGAGAAGGGAAAAGAGAAGAAGTAGACCCGGAAGCTGGGCAAAATCTGTTCACCGACGAAATCCCCAATGAACGGCGTAAAACAGGAAGTATGCACAATTGGAACACGTAAACCCTGCACAGTAACAAGGATTAGGTGCATTGCATTAGTTTGAGACATTCTAGACTATGCTTCCTGTTTTAAACGGTGTTCGTTGAACACGATAATCGGTCGATATCTAACAGGTGATCTCCCTCAGTACCTAGACCCTAGAGATCGGATTTCCAATCATCATTCGAGTTAGCTAACATCACGTCGCGCCGCTTCTCCTAGTCATCGTTAGTACGGATCCCGACCCGGTGTTTCGAGGTTGGCGACGAGTTCGATGACTTTGTCAATTTTCTGCTCAGTGACGACACCCTTGACGAGGCCAGCCAGAAGGAGTTCGGCTGCTGGGGAGAGCAGCCTCAGCCAACATGCTGCGCAGCCTGCCTCAACGACGTCCAGCCATTACACGACTCCATCGCCACCTCAGCAACCTCATTCTCATGGTGGGTGAGAGCGCTCCTCTTCGACCTGATGCCATTTATCCATGACACTGATATGTACAATATGGATACAAGATTGCCAGAGAAGATTATCATTACCGCCGAAACGAATTGGAAGTGCCTATATGGCAGCGCCACCATCGGTCGATGCATTAAAGAGAAATATCGTAGAAAAATTATTACAAGAAATTACACACTCGTAACTTTTAAAACGCTGAACATCGTTGCATGCACTTTAACTCGATATCAGTCACCGAAGTATTTTTGCATACCTTTCCGCAAAATACACACAAATCCATTTTTTAAATTATAGAGTAAAACCTCACTCATGAGTAATTATAGTACATCGATCTGACCATAGTGGCGCCTAATGTCAAAATCACGATTTTCTTTCACGGCTTCTCGTATGGATAGTAATGTATCAGTGGTTCAGGAGGATCTAAATGTCGAAACGTAAACGTTCGGTTCGCAGGAGATTTCCAGAGTGGGCCAGGACGGCCGCTGGAAGAGATCAACGTCAGGATAGATCAGCTGTCCAGGCAGGTTTCTTCGTTGGAAAACTCGATGGCTGGCGACATCAGGCTGATCCTGGCGCTGCTCCAGCAGACCCTGAACTCATCCCGAGATAATTCCAGCATCGAGATGACGCCAGGAACGGCTCCAGCAGGACCGGCCAGACCTGGTGGAAGAGCACCCGCGTTAGTTCAGAGATCCGCCAGCGAGCCGCAACCTCCGACGGCGCCACCATCGTCCAATGGGAATGGCAAGATTCAGCCCAGCACTTCCCATGGCTTGTTCAGGTAAGCATTGTCTTTTACAACATTCGGATACTCGAGTAATCGATATTGTCCGTCTGCCGACATTATATCCAATTCTGTGATAATCGATACATTCAGAAGTCATGGTTTGAATGGAAAAGAGAAAAGGAGGAAGCCACAAAGAGATTCGCTTCTTTCTTTCCTCTGGCTAATAAGAATATAAACGGAACAATGAATTAAATTACGTTTTGAACTTTTAATGTTAATTGCGATGGTATAGCATAGAGTCCTTACTTCTTGATGTGTTAGTGGGATAGTGTTTAAAAGGATTTTCAAAAGGACATTCTAGATAAATAGAAAAACAGCTAGATAGATAAATGACGGAACGATTAAATCGAAAATAAAGGGATTAACTCCCGTGGGTGTTTAGCATAGTTAGTTAATAATGTGTTCTTAATGTTAACGATAGGTTACTTCTTATTTTGATAGGACTAGGCATACAGATCGACAACTAAGTAACCAAGTTCTTCTTTTTCCCCCCTTTTGAAAAGCTTTCTTTCGAAATCCCTGGATCAGTTGCATTTGATTTCGGCGTCTTTTATTTTGGAAAGGTTGGACAAGTTCCGAAGGTGACGCTATCCTACAGTTATTTCGACCGAGTGGCCGGTTTGGTGCCACGAGTCAACGATTTTTCTTTGTTTCTTTTTTTTTTTATATTAAAATTATTACCCGAGGCAATATGCCTTCAGGCGAAAGCTTTATCAGTCGGGAGCATCATGTATTACGGATCAACAGTAATGCCCTGCACGGATCTGAATTTTCACACTTTTCATGCCCCCTGCATGGATGAAGATATGATCGAAGAATTGCCTATATCCATTATGGGGTTATAAAAAAAAAAAAGAAAAAATCAGTAGACGTTAAACGTGCCACTAGACTTCTTTAAGCCGCCCATGCGTACTCTTAGAACTTGAAACACGCAACTTTCGTAGCAGTAGTCAATCGGTTACCGAAGACACCGGTCACGTCGTAGAGCATTTCTTCTCATTCTATCTGCTCGCACCGATTCGGATGAAGTAGGCTCTATCGCTTTAGACTAGACACTCTCTGCCTAACCTTTCTGCCTAAGGAAACGAGGTAATCATAGTAATACTACCACATTATCCCTACATGGACGAAGAAATAATTGAAGAAGTAGTCTCCATCCGCAAGTGGGTGAAGATTTCGTTCTAATTTCGATACCTCCCTTTACACGGATCAGACTTTATTAAGGTGAAGTTGGCGTGACAAGAGGAGCAAACGTTACACTATAAACTTGAGAGCACCTTCACTCAACACTTTAAAACCTTCGCCGCCGAGGAATATTAAGGAAGTACATGATCAACCGTAAGGAGTTGAACCGAAAGACTAAACCGAAGAGATGCGTTCTTCAGGAAGGGACGCAAAAGAAATTAGTAGCTTCAAGATGGACGGTCCGATGCTTAGTGAATTTCCTTTGTGTAATCTTCTATGCTTTGGGCTTGTAGAATCTTGCCACGTAACGAATAAACTGGTCGTGCCGTAGTAGATGAAGAACCTTGAAGACTTTTCGCGGCACATCCGGCATGCCCTTCATCTGGCAGGAAATCGCGTATCTGGTGTTCTTCCTGATCGGTTTCTTTTCCTTCTGCTCGGCTCTTTCTCTGGGTCGCTCTTTCTTCTTCTGCACTTGCGAGCAGTACTGCGGAAAGTTTTATTACGCAGTTTTATAACGCTTCGCCGTGTCAATAACTATCCTTACCTTTCTGTCTTTTATGGATCGATGGTCGGAAGGTCGACGCTGATGGGAATTGCTTTTGCAGGTCCCCGGATCGGTTTTCTTCGTTTGCACGTCGCGACATCGCTGACATATCTTATTACTCTGCCCTCTGTCGTTCCTAAAAAAGGGAGCACATTTTGGAATTTGAAAACACTCCCGCGGAGCTTGGGCTCCAGTTATCGGGACTTGATAACATTTTCCCAGGTTTTGCGATTTTCTCTGTCGATTAGCCATCATGAGTAATTTTTTTACGTGATCCCCGAGTGGTCCATCTCCTGCATTTTAGGTTCTAGATTCTCGTATCGAGTTTGAGGTGGATCCTGGTCCAATGTTTGCTGCTGATCCTGGCAGTAATCGTCATGGTATTGATCTTGATCCTGATATCTTTGTCGAGAGGAACTCCTTCGTCCATCCCGAGAGTGTTTCCAGCATCTGCTCCCGCGATTTTGGAGGTTCATCTTTTCGACGGAATCGGAACGGCTCGAGGAATTTTGATACTCGGGAACTAGTCATCAGATCCTAGAGCACATTTTCTTGGATGACCGGGGAAAATAATCGGCATTTCTTCGGGATAAACGGGGAATTTATCAGTCGATCGCAACGAAAGGACTTGGACGACACGATGCGCTATCAACTGGCGTTGACAGGGCATGAATATTCTTTGTTTTTTACTCGGCGCTTTTTTTCACTTTCGGTACTTCGGAGCAGTCTTCCAGTGTTCCAAAAATAGGGAATCGCCGATGCTGGTAGTCGACGTATTTCATAATGCAGCATATTTAAAAGTCTATTGAGTTTAGGAATCTATTAATCCAATGTGATGTTCTACGGAAACGGAAATCGAAAAAACGGTTGCAGGTCTAAGCTACATTGATCTAGCTTAGCTTCAGGTAGGTTGATATAGCTTAGTCTCAGGTAGGTGTCTATGGCGTAAACCGAAGAAAAATGGGCGCCTGTAGTTTACGGAAATAACTTCCGGAAGGACAGAAGTTAAAGAATCTCCCCACTTTATTCAATGTACCACGCGATCAACCTTTAGAATCCCTTACAGCATCTTCATCGACATTTCCTTTCCTCTTTGTCTTAATTCTAGTTTTACAATTCTTTACATTATTATCCCATTTTACATTATGCACCGCTTAACACTTTACATTCCTTATCTTACATTTTGGTTCTCATGGCGTAGATATTAACTAAGTAACATAATCTGTTGATAAAATTTCTGAAGGTTTAAGGGTGATGTACCGGTCGATGTGAAGGTCACGAGGATATCTGCAACATGCACCAACACCATACCCACAAAATACTTACTAAATTGCAGCTTCGCCTAGCTTCTTTGCTCACTTCTTCTTCTCACCACGTGGAAAGACGGCCTAAAAAGAAGCACACTTCCCCGCTCCCCTTAGAAAGCAAAACCATAAGAATATCTCCGCCATACACGATACTTACTCGCCTCTAACATACCTAACCCCACAGCATACTTCTCAGAGTACTCTTCTCCCACATTGTTCTCTTCTCTAACAAAGAAAGACCACCGCTAGGTCCCTCGTTACTTACCACCGTAGCATAATTAACGCCGTAAACCGTAGAAGCGAGTCGGCTTAAAGGAGTCGACAAAATGGCGACGATCGTCGACCACGTCACGCATCCGAGTTCCAAAATGGACTCGGGAGGACTCGTGGCGCCGCGCCCGTCCGATTTAGAGACTTAGAGGCTGAACCCCCCACTTGTACATAACCACGAGCTTCTGTATCGCTACGACTTAGCGAGTCGAATGAGCACCCCCGTTGTTAGCCTCGTTCACGGAAGCCCTGTGTCCTCCAGGCCCCCGACGCGGGAGCCGACGTCCACCTCCTCGGGGACCTCGAGGCTGACCGTGACCTCGGACACCTCCGCCCTGGCCACTGCTCTGCAGACTGCCCTAAACGGCCGGGCGGCGCCCACGAGGTCGCAGAGTCAGCCCGTCGACCTGGCCGTGCCTGCTAGTGCGCAGGCGCACCAACCGCACGCCTGGCACAGCCAGCCCGCCGCCTTCCGGCGCGGCGAGTTCAAGACTGGGTATATATCCGAGTGCCACTTTACCTTAATGTGTTCATAAAATGTAAATCTGCACACGTGTACAACTGTAAGGTACTCGGGAACCACCACCTGGTACTAAGAACATTCATTTGGACTTATCTAGATAGCACTTAAACTAATTCCGTACCAATTTAGTAGGTTTCAATTTAGGAAGATTCCGCTGTCAATTTGGGTTACTTTACTTCCTGTTACTTTCCCACTTCCGCTGTTTCTCCCTTCGCAGAGTCCTGCTCCTTCCTTGAAGTACTCGTCCTGGAAGAACGTTAGAGGTTACGTTGATTACGATGGAATCGAAGTTATACAGGATGGCTCAGGATCCGTAGTAATGCTTGAAACTGGTGGAAGTTGAAATCTGAAGTCGAAATTTTCCTGTTCTTTTACTCCAGGTGATTTTGTATCTAGTTATTAACGATTGAACTGGCCAATCTTTAGTACTGGATTAATACGCGTGCCCAGTATTACCAGTGCATTGCAACTAGCTCGTTTGAGTCCTTCATCCATAATTCCGCTACTTTAACTCTCAAGCTATTGCGAACCTGGTTAAGAAGCTGGACCTCCTGTGACGGAGTTGAAATTTCAATCCTTCCTAGAACCCCTAATTCTAATTCTTGCAATGGGTTCTTAGATAACACGGAGAGGGTAACTTCCACACAATTGAAATTCTGCTTTAGACTTTCAATGCGGCAGGCATTTTCGTTTCTTCTAAAAATGAGTGTCGGGGTCATGCACCTTGTAACGTCACTCGAAAAGTCAAAGAGGGTCCTTAGAATTTTGGTAGCTTCTACCAGTTTCAGGAATTACTATGATTTCTCTGCAACTGTTATGTTCCGTGTGTGTGTGCGCGAGTGCATGTGTGTGTACACGATTCGGGGAGATATTTTGGTACGTGGGAAGTAATCTTTTTGGTTGGTCGAACAGGTACAGCTCCTTCAACAAGCGTTCGGAGCCGGACACCGAAGACCCGTGGAGCTGCGTGGTGCCGGTGCCGGAGAGAAGCGTACACCAGCGCCCTCGCAGCGGCGACTCGCGGAAGGATTCGGCCAACCACCGAGGCTCGAGCGAGCTGTCGGGCAACCAGCGCTCGGAGGGCCGACCCTCGGACGGACAGAGTGCCCAGAGGCAGGAATCCTCGCGCCAGGCCAGCGAGGATATCTCCTGGGAGTTCGCGATAAACGAGGCGCCGATCGCGAGGCTGGAGTCCCTCGACGAGCTGGACCAGGATCACGGCAGTTAAAGGGACTCCAGCTCGGTCAGGGAGGTCTCCCGACGCGGGGTTCCTGTCGCGGGCGAGGGGAAACAGATATTTAAAAACATACTGCCTTTATTGGTAGGCTAGAAGCTATAGTCGCACGGACAAAACTTGGCTGTGGTCGTCGCCATTTCTTTTATTCGTTCCATTATCATTTTTTTCTTTTTTTTTTCCCCTCTTTTCTAATGGCGGCTTTAACGTGTCGCGCTCGAAGGCGGAAGAACGGAGTGGGGCGTACCGGTTGATCGGTCCTGGCGAAACTTTGGACGACGTCGCGACGCCTCGATGTACTCGCCCCCTCTTTCTATTTCGGCTTTAATTCTACGGACATTCGTTGTTAACCAATCTGAGCCTTGTTTGGCTGACGAGCCTTCGTCGGGCCACGGGCTGGGATCGATCGATCGGTGGCTCGGTCACATCAAACCGCGAGGAAATCAGGGAAAAGGAGACTGTATACTTGGGAAACGACTCACGGTCCGAACGGGATTGCTCGTTGCTGAGGGGAGGAAGTGGAAGGGAAGAACCTAACCCTAAAATTCGAATTCGATGTTCCGAGAAATTGCGCGCTCGCTCGGGCGGACCGAACCTTTGATTTATCAAGCTTTTGTTGTTGTCCTCGGCTCGACGTCGAGCCACGGAGCACCGTGCCTTCTTTTTATTCGGAGTCTCGAAACGTTTACACCTTCGTTCACGACTGAAATTGTATAATATAGGGTTTTCTACGGGGATTCGACATTCTTTCCGCGGTGGGCGTTCGGCTTAGGGGAGTGAAATTGAGACCCGTCTTGTTCGATCGCGAAACCAATACAAACCAAAACCAAAAGGGTTAACCAATTCACTTCATGGCCGATGGAATGAGAGCATGCTTCGAGATACGCGAGACAGGGCTTCGAGGTACGCAAAAGTCAGATCTTGCGAGCGGGAGAGGGAAACAGTACGGACGCTCGCGTCGCGACAAACGACGTCTTTTTTAGAGCTAAATAAACGTTAAGCGTTTATGGTCCGGACACGCTCGTCAACTTTTAAACGCAAATTTCTGTAAACTGGTAACCCCGCTAAAGTGGCAACAAACGCACATTATCGTTTGAAATTAAGCGTTCAGCTCATTTTATTTTTGCATTTCTGCAATTGGTCACTATTTTTTTTTTTCGTCCAAACCTTGCACCTTCTATGGCGATTAATTTAAATTTCAATAAATTCATTGAATGGAATTAAATACGGTGTAAGAATGATATGGAATCTTGAGATAAAAATCATGAGTTAGAATGAATTGCTTTTGGAGCAGAATGTTCATTTTGGTATAACGCAAAGGAGAGTGGAACGTGGAACGCAGTAAAATGCGTTTGCGTCTGGGAGCGTGTCCGATCCATTAACGGTAACGCATTCGAAGACAGCAGGACGGTAACTGCAAGGCATTAGTTCTTAGTAACTCCGCAGGAGTGCGCTCGGCCCGGTTCCCCCACTTCGGAAACATATGCGCGCCTATTGACTCCCCACTCCTGTTGGTCCCGCAGTGGCGTCGTCACGCGGGGGCAATCGGACTGAGCGCTCCCGTCACGGGCCCAGGGATTATCAACAGTGGCGTGCCTAGAAAAGTGTCCTGGGGACAGGTTATCGGAAACTATTCCTTTCCCAATACTCGTTAATACATGAGACATATAAACTGAAACAAAAAAGGAACGTTTAGACAGTCGTGGAGGGGGTTCACATCCCTAATATCTCCCTCGTGGCACGCCATTGACTATCGGCGCCACCTCTATTATTATCACCGTTACATTGACTGTCATTACCGACTACTATTGCGACTATCATTTACCACCGTTATCACCGTTATGATTATTAACGCAATTGTTGATATCACCAGTGCCGCGCGTGAGGGACGGATCCTCGCAAGGGTTATTCAATATCGAATCTCGGGATGGAACTTATATCGACGTGTTATATGCCTATGCAATAATACATACACGATAAACCTACGTTTACATGCGCGGGCATAAGTACGTTTTTTTACACGACATCTCGAATCACTTTCTCGTGCGCACGCGGATTCTCCTTCCTCGATTCTTTCCTTTCCGGACGCGCCACGGCGAAGCCCTTGGTCCAGGCTCGGAGTTCATTTTCTTAACTATTTATTTAATTAAGACATTTATCGACTTGCCGGGGGAGTCGCCATTGTCGGCCCGAAGCGTCGGTTCTCGTCGTTTAGGTTACGTTCGCACCTTGGGTTCCGCTTCTTCGAGTACACGCGTCGTCCAGGTCGCCGCCATTCCGGTCCCGCGTTCTCGTTTTAATTCAGTATTTCTAGAGAGTAACTTCGACGTAACGATATTATTAATAATGGTAATCATAGTCTAACGACGGTTAGCAAGATGGCGGGGGAGCAGAGAAGCGCGCGATACACCGTCGGCTTATTAAACAGATTAAATAGCGAAGTCTATTTCTAGTCCGCGCAGCTCGTGGTTGCACTTAGATAATGAGAAAACGTAAAAAAAAAGAGAGAGAGAGAAGATAATAATAATAATACTGGCGCGACCGGCGAGGTTAGGGATTTTCGAAAAGGGGGCGGTGTGCTCTTTGCGTCCCCACCACGAATTACGAATATAGGATCCGCCCGATTTTCGGACCCCGGGGCGAATCCCAGTTTTTGGGCCTCGGGGCCTTCGAAGCCTCTCGAAAGTCCGCCTCGCCGGTCTCGAGTTTAAATATGCATCTCGATCGCGCTGCTGTAGTTTGGCCGAGCAAAACGTAGCGCAAAGGGACGACGAGGAAGATACCGCGGTTCCGCGCTCGCAAAGCGACGCGCCGCCCACGTGGTACGAGCATGACGCATTGTAGACGTACTTTTTTCGAGGTATGAGGGAAGTTTTCCACATTTTTCAAGAAACATAGTAAACACACGCTTCTCGAGAGCTCGGCGCGAAGGGGATGTGAGAGAAGCGTGCATGGCGGCCAAAATGGCGGGTGGGAAGCTGCGCTTCGAGGAGCCCGAAATCGAGGAGCAATTAACGGGAATTTACGTCGAATAATCTGCCGAAATGACAATGACGGAGGTTTTAAATTTCCCGAAACATTGAAGATGAATATTGCCCTCGAGAATGGCGTCGACGTGTTCTGAGAAAATTGCTCTTCGGTGGACTCGGGCCCGAACCTGGAGGGGAGGCGCGATTTAGGCTTAAGGGGATGTCAAAGTGGCATCCGAAGGGTCAATTATTCAAGAAACTTTTCTTCGAATTGTGTGTGTCGAATTGCCTCAAACTATACAACGTGTACGTGGAGGCTATAAGGAAGGTGCCGGCACTCTTGAAATTCCCTTTTCTATGACAAATTTTAAATGTATCTGTGAAGTCCTTTTAAAAAAAAGAAATTGAAACTTCATGAGTTTCAGGACCTCCCTTGTACCCTTCGTGTTTATATTGTTAAGTTTGAATCGATTCGGTACACCCAGTTTGGAGAAAAGTTTCACGAACGAGAACTCTCTCCCGCCACTTTAGCATCGCCTTAAGGGTAAGGATTAGAGCGGTTGTCGCCAGAGGAAGGATATAAGAATAAATCAGACTGTTAATTTAGTTCTGGCGCTACCTTCAGATGCTTACGTACGCGAGACCAGGCTCTGCCGGACGTCCCGGCGTCGGCGTCGATACGCCGAACCGTCTCGAATTTATCGCAGCGACTGCACAGCCGTCTCGCGAAATTGCGCGCGTAATTCGAATTTTCTTACAAGATTTTCAAAGTCCCTCCCTTGTCTGCTAGATTCACGCCTAAAACAGTAGGACCTCATGAAACGCAATCCCACCTCTCGAGACGAGAGGCCTTCTCCCGAGGCTTTGAAAAAGCCATCCTTTCTCTTCACTTTTCACTGACCTTGGCGATCGCGATTCGACGAGAAGAGCTCGAAGAAACCTCGAGTGGTGGCTTCGGCTTCGGCGAACCGAAGGCTCGAGGGCACTCGGGAGTGACGTTAACACCGATAATGAGGACATTAACAAATTCGTAGGACGTTAAGGGTATCTGGCGAAGGGAACTCGAGGACTTCCGGAACCGATCGGCGCGAAGCCACGATCCATCGATGTACATTGTAGACTCGAATGCGGCCGGCCGACGGGTCGGCCATCTCTCTCGCATTATATTATTAAGGCGCATTGTTCTGTATATATGTACGACCTATAGTATTTGAATTGCACGAATTGTACGGCGAGCGCACTCGTTTGTAACACGTACGGAGGGGAGGATATTCGATTATGAGAGATCTCGCGACGGCTCCATCTTGGCTCCTACCGAGGCCTCGGTCAGCCGCCATCTTGATTTCGCGAAAACACTCTAAAAGTTATATTTAAATTGTTTTTTATACTGTATTCGCCTCTTCTACTGACTAATTTCTCCTAACAATTACCTTATAGTGATATCCAAATTCCATTTCCTTGCGGTTTATCATTCAATCTGGAAGAACTTTGCATTTATTTAACCGTTTAACTTTGGCTTCATCGATCGTAGTAACTGGAGTTTGGGATAAGTATGTTAATATATAATGTGACCGGTTCACGGGACTCTGGATTTAGATGTCTCATTTTTTTTGTTGATAAATTAAATGATTAAGGCTGTCACTTTGTTTAATATGGCGGTCAGGACGCAACGGTAGGAGCGGCGATGGTTCCTCCTGTGGTGACGGTCATGCCACGTTATGTATCTATAAGTTTTTTCATATATTGCATAAAATATGTTTATTACATATTTTCACTATGTCTATCGAGACGAGTTTGTGCACCTTGTTACCCGACACTACTTCCCGTCCTGTGAATCGGAAAGAAGGCTAAATAATCACGTCGACTTTATTTTTCGTACCCATAGGCTATCTTCATTTCATTTAACGCTCTTGTTTAAGAAACTAAATCCTTTTATGATTCTATGCATCTTTTTACATCACGTCCCGACGATAACAGAGTATGTATGTACACTGCATAATCGTCGACAGAGATGAGTTGGTAGATTGCTCACGGGCAGGGTCGCGCGATTGCATGCTGTGCTGCCCTCTGGTTTCGTACGTTAGCTTTCACCGTTTTTTGCCCCCAAGGGCGGCACAACGAATTTCTGGTAGGGGCTCGCGCACTCGCGATGGCGGTGCCATCTATCAGTCGGCGTCGGCGGCTCACGTACTCGTGATGGTAATATCATGCGGCAGTTGACGGTGGTGGCTTACCTACGCTTACCAACACTGCTCGCTTTTGATGGTAAGGGAAGAAAACTCGTGACGCTCCATTTGACTTTATCTACTTATCTACTGCTATTAGGTACATACTTAATAGTAGTGGATAAGTAGATAAAGTCAAATGGAGCGTCACGAGTGTTCTTCCCTTACCATCAAAAGCGAGCAATATCGGTAAGCGTAGGTAAGCCACCACCGTCAACTGCCGCATGGTATTACCATCACGACTACGTGACCCGCCAACGGCGACTGGTAGATGGTACCGCCATCGCGAGTGCACGAGCTATCAGAAATTCGTTGCGCCGCCCTTGGGGACAAAAAACGGTGAAAGCTAATGTACGAAACCAGAGGCAGCACAGGATGCGATCGCGCGATCTTGCCCGTGAGCAATCTCCCAACTCATCTCTGGCGTCACCCTTGGGGGCAAAAACGGTGAAAGCTAGGTAGAGGGCAGCACAGGATGCGATCGCGTGATTCTGCCAGTATGCAGTCTCCCTCTGTTGTTGGTTGTTGCAGGGCTGAGTGCTGCAGTTCATTTTTATTCCGGTAGAGGCGCCATCGAATGTCGTACGAAAAGTCGTATGAAGGTTGACCTATCATGTGAGTGCGAAAATGGTAGTCCGTGACTGGATTGACGACGATGACGATATGAGAACGATTCTGTGAGTGCCGAAAACTTTGCCGTGCCATATCTTTACGAATATAGCAGGAATCAGAGTCGGGTAAATTAAAAAAAATTCCTAATTTTTTGCTTGATCTTTTCAGTTGGATAAAAATTTATTTCTTTATCCGTAGCAATGAGGAAATTTTATTTCTATTTACCCCGCTCCTGGGATCTCGATCCTTACTGTACAGAACTCTGTGGCGTCTCGCTCGAACTCAACGTGCAAGGCACATTTCTCTCATCACTCAACGCTACGAGTTTCTTGATTGGGTCAGGAACTAAGAGGACGAATTCTGATCAGTCTTCGACAATCTGCTATAACAAAGTTATCTTTTTTGCAACTCTTTCGCCAAGGACTTTACCATTTCGGTGCACTCAATTCGACGAAGAGATTCCCTTTTCTTTAATTAAGAGCTACCAAATGATCAGTCTCATTAATTCATTGCTCTTTATTCAGTAACCTCGCTTGGTAAAAGAAGTACTATACAATGCATGCACAAATATTTTCTATACATCGGTAGCTTTAATACGATTTCCAGATGGGATTATTTAAACTATAAGATAAGCAATCGCTGTACAGGTTTGAAATTAATTGAACAGTTCCGCCGACGAGAAACCCACCTTGAGGTTCGTCAGCAATTCTCAATTATTTACAATTCTAGTGTTCACCTAGGCGGAATTTCGAGCAACTCGCCGCAGCTTCCCGCCTCCTAATAATAAACTAATCGCATGCTTAACACTTTTTGGTTGCACTACATAACTCTAACATTAACTGGATGAAGTATTGCTCTAGTCAGAGAATGGAAGGAACGAGCAAGTTCCCGTAAAGATGATTTTTAATTTAATACGCGAACGGCTCGTCATCCCGAAACCAGCAATCGCCTGCAAATTGCTGAAACAATCGGCAACGTCCCTCGTGATTCAATAAAATCGACTATTTACAGGATTGTCTTTTTACAACTCTCGCGTACTCACTGGACTTGTGTTTCTGGTATAACGCGAGGGGTCCTATCCGAGATACCGAGGAAACTATATTAACAAATAGTATACCGATATAATGATCCAAGTGTGACTAATCGCTAAGCTTAGGAAGTAACTACAAATTTACCAGTATTTACGTCGAAGCGGAAGTCCGATTACTGGCGAGAAATAATTTCTCTCAATCCAGAGATGAATCATAAACGTTTTATCCGACATCTAGCACCATACTCAGACACCCCTAGGCAAAGAAAATCTCAGGAAGACTGGTGCGAGGGTCAAAAGAACCGTGACATCCTTGTCATGGGAAACGTCTCCCAGGACACGTTTCTCCTGGTCCTTTAACTTGAAGACCTATCCTCGTGTACTGCCCCTCTTTCCTAATGTACTTCCCTCCTTTCCTGATGTACTTCCATCCTTTCCTGATGTACTTCCATCCTTTCCTCATGTACTTCCTTCCTTTCCTCGCGTACTTCCCCTCTACTCTCAATACCAGCTGTAGAAAGGCTGATGGGGCACCGGTCTAGGAGGCTGCTGGAAGCCCTGGGCGGCATAGTGGCAGGAAAACGCTTGGTGAGGATGCGAACTATGAGCATGGGGTTGTTGAAGGCTCGATGGAGGGCTAGATAGACCCACTCGTCCACTCCCTGAGATGGGCAGGTTCCAAGAGGGCGACGAGTTCCCCTGGGGCCCTGGAGGCTGCTGAGCCTGTTGCTGGACTGGGGAGACGGAACCGATGGGCAACTCTCCGGTGGCCAGCTGATCCGAGCCCGCGTTGGAACTGGCGGAATTGGGACCCATCATGGTCACCAAGGCGTTGGGCGTTGGAGGTAGCTGGTGGCTGCTGGGCTGCTGGTAGCTGGACGATGCTGCAGTCACTGGGGAGACCTGGTGGGCCATGTGACTGGTGGTCGACGATGACGTGGGTGGCAGCAACGACGGTGGGTACGTCATCGACGTTGGAAGACTGTAGGTTGGGGTGGACCCGACCGAAGACCCTAACCGGGTGGAGTCGGCGCTCAGCTGATGGGACATGGTCGTGTGGTGCGAGGAGTAGAGTTCTGGAACTGAAATAAGAACGTATTTATTTCTACGAATGTCCAAGAGCGTCTTTTAACCTGGAACGATGACTGATAAGAAGTTTGAAGTCGTTGAAAGAATTGCGATAGGTCAGGTTTCGGCAGCTAGGGATGAGCTAATGCGAGGTAGTCTTGGTCTTGACCTTTCCATTATAAAATACCCGTTCTTACAATTATGGTCGGGACTTTGGCTCGTTCTTGGTCTTGCATTTTTTGAAAGAGTAGGGCCAACACCAACTTTGCTCGTCGCTGCCAGCAACAACTAGAAAGCCGACTCGAAACGCCGGCAATCCGATAGACAATTGCCGGAAACCGTTTCCCACTCAACGGGATATCGAAACAATCGGACCAGTCATTCGGTACATTGGCCGACTCTGCACCGGTTCTTCGAGCTGCCAAGAAAAGTAGCAACCAGCGTTGCGTGCTTGCCCCCAAACGAGTCGAGGACTGACGAAAGAACGACTATCGCTATGTCATGCCTGTAATATCCGCTGCAAGCCAATTTCGGCCGTTGTCTCGCTGAGGTGACAACGGCTGGAGGGTCCGATGTGATGACACGGATCGATGATCCGGTCTTATCGAAATCGAGACTCCTGGATTCCCAATGAGGAAATGCGAACGCCTACCGTGATCTCCAGAAGTGGAAACATGGAAAGTTTCTTTGTTCGGTGGCGCCACATTCGCTTAGGGACCACTACTTGAATAAAGCGCGGGCATAGATTTAAAGAGACATACACTTGCAATACAGCTACATTCTCCAAATAAACTAAGATAAAATATTGACAATGCATATTTTATCTATAATAATATTTTTAGAAGTATGTATTCCTGACATATGTAAGTACTGTAATTAAAAAAATGTTTTGGTTCAAGTAGTAGAACGTAAAGTTTAAAAGTTTTTAATTTGACGGGTCTCCCGCGTGACAACGAGATTCACGAGATTGAGCACTCTATGTTGTCCCTTAGCGATAGTATTGCCACCAACAGAGAAAATTTTTATACAATGTACTGTATCCTTTTTTGCGGACACAAGCTCCCATAAGGGACCCTATGCAGTTCGTCCTCCTGGTCTCTAGTCTCCATGATAGCGTGCTTGGTGGGTTTATACATATGTACGTACATACATACATAAACGCATATATAAGCGCTATAAGAGCGAACTCCAAGCTTCCCAAAAAATGGAGTTTAAAAAGTGATACCCACCTTGGCTGGAGGAGAACGCAGGGTCCGGCAGGGTTTGACCATGCGAATGAGGATGAGGATGACTCGGTGGAACCGTGGCTCCAGAATGAGGATGACTCGGGGGAACTGCAGCTCCAGAATGAGGGTGCGCCGCTGCCGGTGGATGCAGAACGTAAGACGCCGCAGGGTACGCAACGGAGCCGACATAACCTCCCGACGTCGGCGAGGACAACTGTTTCCTGAGGCGAGCTCTTCTGTTGCTGAACCAGACCTGAATCCTGGCCTCGGTCAGCTTGGTCCTCTGGGCCAGCTCTTCCCTAGTGTAGATGTCCGGGTACTGGGTCCTCTCAAAAGCCCTCTCGAGCTCGTCCAGCTGGTGGGCGGTGAAGGTGGTCCTGCTCCTCCTCTGCTTCCTCTTCAGAGGAATCCCCGGCTCGCTCTCGCAGTCGGAGCCTGGGCTGGTTCTTCCTGGAAATCAAACGAAAATGAATATGAAAATCCGATTGACTCTTATTCCATGAATAGTGAAGCGTATTAACCCCTTGTGCTACAATGACGAGGGTGGGCTAATCCAGTTAGAATGGTTCCAAAATTAAATCCAAGCGCGATAATCCATGGATTATCCTTTACATCGCAATGGCGGTGCACTGGGATTGAAGGATTCGCCCAGAAATCAGCGACAGCGATTTCTTTCTTTAAGAGTCGATTGCCGTCGATTTCATATGATAGAGAACAATGCGATTCTATCTCAAGTGACCGTTAAGCCATAAAAATGCGAGAGTGTTTTGGTGATAATTTCGAGCGTTAAAATCCATGATTTCCTGAGTGGATACTCTCGACTAGGATCGAGAGAAAACTCCATATCCAAAAACGGAGACAAAGAGAAGGTACCGACTTACTTAACAACCGAGTAACGATCCCGGGTCCCGGTTTATGGGGTCCCGTTTTTAATGGGTATTAATTCCTTGTTCTCTACTCGTCCACGGAACGACGTACATCAAATAAGACGTGGGATTATACGGTCCAATCGCGGGCTAGCCAACAACCATAAAAATCCTACACCGCGTCACATCCCCGCCACTTTTTGGCTCTCCGGCTATTTCACACTCGGCCTGACATCGGCTCGTTTACCTCCGGGTTTCCTTTGACCGCGCCTCATTGTTTTGCCAGCCTGACTCGTGTTTGCCATTTGTTTTTGCTGGCAGCTTGGACATTTTCTGTTTTATGGCCCGGCACGGGTCCCTTGAAATTCTGCCCTCACCTTTTGGCCCCATTAAATGGAGAACATGGGGTTCGTGTCAAACGCGCGGCCTGCGAGACGGGCCTCGTAGGAGTTCTCCTACAAATGGTCCACTCGATTCTCGATCAGGAAGTTTACCGACACTTTTTTTTTTTTTTTATAAAAGGCAACATTTTCTTAATAAAGAAAGAAAGGGAAGAAAAATGAGGGAGATGAATAATCGCGTTTCAAGATCCGCACGAATCTCTCCTATGTTATCGGACAGCTGTGGTCGGTAATAATTGGAAATAAATTGTGAATGATTTTTATTTTTTTTTTTTCAAGAAAGATATTGATATTTTTCGTACACATCTATGATATGATGACAATGGGTCAAAATGACCTCATTTCCGCTCAAGGGTTAATCGAATCGCCGCAAACAATCAGCGCCACGCGTTGTTAATCACCTTACCTGACAAAAGTATCGCGGAATAGAACGGTTTATCACCTCACAGTGGTGTAAGGAAAAAAATGTCTGATTGAGGAACACTTCACGTGTGACCGATGACAAACGACGAATGGTCTCGAAATCGCCGATAAAGAGAGAGATGCAGAGAGATGCTCGTTTGTCGGTAAAGTAGACTGCGATAGAGGGTTCCTACGACTCGGACAGAGAGCGCTGCGATCACTTTTATCCGGGGATATTGCCATTACGAGATTTCAACGACTGTACCACGGGTTTATATTGAAACTTCGCTTATAAATCAAGGGCCCTTCCTGGAACCTGACTTTCATAAATGCAGAATACAGTTCAATCGTGCATACGAACTAACATAATAGTCCAATAATAAAGAAAAAAAAAACTCAATAGAGTTTCGAGCCAAATACACTTTTGCGCGAAACTCCTAATGTCGAGTGATGAGAGAAATGAGACCTTATTAAGTCGTTTTAATAAGCCTATCTTCGCGAAGGGAGGTAAAGTTAACCGTGTAAAAGTATGAGACGGGCATTAATGCCCAGAATTGACCGAAATATAGCATTAGGATTATTAAGGAGGATGAAAAACCGTGCTTGAGGTCCTTTTCTGGAGCATGTGCGACGATGCCCACCCGAGCCTCGTCGCGTGCTCGGGCTCGCATTTTCCTTTTTTCTCCTTCCTCTGAGATTCGTCGGGATTTCGAGATCGCCGACGGCCTCGTCAGTCTCCACTCCATCCGCGACTAATCGGCCGACGACGCTCGACGCCGGGACGCCCCCGGTTAATGCGGATTCGACACGGCGCTATTCCCGGACGCGACCTTTTTCCTCCCCGACACTCCAGCGGCTGCTCGGCCGTTCGCCGTTGGATCCTGCCACTCCCGAAACTTATTTCTGGATCTTAATCCATCGTTCCTTGGTCCTTCGTCATTTCGCCCTTTGACCTCGCAAATTGATCCGCCCGATCGCTCTTTGCAGGAGCACCGAGAAGCTAGATCGGGCCAATTTCGAACAGCGAGTCCATCTTGGTATTGTACCCTTGGTTTTGGTCTTGCCAATATGGACTTAAAATTTGCCAAATTTCGCCTCAGTCTTACACCTTTTGCAAGATTACAAGACCAAGGTCGATTGTGCTCATCCCTAGTTTCGACGTAGAACGACGTTTTTCACCGATTTACGTATAGGGGAATTGATTGTCACGAAATAGTGCAAATGCTACAAAGAAAGTGTGAACGTCTGAAAATACCAAAAAAAGTGTATAGAATGAACGAAAAAGTGCGAATGCCTGGACAAAATCGATAAAATCATAGTTTTACTGCTATGCTGTATACATTTACACAGAACTAACTTTAAGATGACGGCTCAAATTGTTTCGTCTTGGAAAGAAGTTTTGGCAGTTTGCGATACAGTCATCATGTATCTCATCCATCTCTCATATTGCTTATTGGACGTGAGACATGCGCTTTGCTCTGTGCAGATAGTCCCTTCGTAAAAAAAATCAAATCCAGTAAAACCCATCTAAATAATTAAAATATGCACTGAAGTTCTCATCACATCGAATCATCAAAGTGACATAATTTGCCATCTAATAAATGATGATTCCATAGGTAACTAATCACGTTTCATTTCCTGCATCACGCAAATGTAGTCCGACTTAATACATGTAGCGTAGCAGCTAAGTCTGTCAATTTTGAGGTTAGGGCGCACGTGTCGCGAGTCGTGGGCCCAAGTATAGAGGCGAGATCGAGAATTTCCGGATCCCTCCGTGCTCCGCGTTAATTGTCATGAAATCGATGATGCTCGGTGCACGGAGTTCCCCGACACGGCGACCTCGTGCAATTCGGGGTCGTTATCCTCTTCCGAATTAAAAGCCGACCAAGTTGGCGCGTCCAGGGTCTCTCTCTCCATTAGCATGGAAAATAAGCCGAAGAAGTCCGCAACGGGACCGCGGATCGCGGGTTTCCCTTTTTTTATTTATCCGGCCTATCTGGATGTTCAGCTGCAGGATGTGCTCCGCCCTGCAGCTGACCAGCCGATACAACGTGCCATCGTCGTCATCGGTTTCTTGTCCCTTTACCCGGCCGCAATCACTGCTTTCACGATAATTACAACATGGCGGCGCTGCGCGTCCTTCTGGGAGATCCCTCTTTTCCCCGGCATTCTCGCTTACCAGGATCCAGTCACATATCGTACTCGGCCATGAAACTCTGATCCTGATTGGAGGCCTCGCGATCCTCGAGGGATCTCTGCATTAAATCAATCTTGAAGGATTGTCTCAGCTCCAAGATGAGACTACGCGTTCCCTCCTCCACTTTCCAACGAACGAAATACCCACCGCGATGCGGTCAATAGCGATCAAGTTTCTTGGGTTCAGTGCATATTTTAATTATTTAGATGGGTTTTAGTGGATTTCATTTTTTTACGAAGGGACTATCGGCACAGAGCGAAGCGCGTACCTCGCGTCCGATAAACAATATGAGACTATGCGTTCTTTCTTTTGAAGGATACAATGAAATACCTACCGCGATGCGGTCAAAAGCGATCAAATTTGTTAGATGCGATGCATGTTTTAACTATTTGAATGCATTTTAGGGGAATTTTTTTACGAAAGAACTATCTGGGTAGATCGAGGTGCGCGTCCCGCGTCCGCTGAGCAAGATGAGACTACACGTTATTTCGATTGAACGAAATATCTATTATGATGCGGTCAAAAGAGATCTAATTTGTTAGATTCAACGCATATTCGAACTACTTGGACGCATTTTAAAGGATTTTTTTCACGAAAGGACTATCCAGATAGAGCGGGGCGCGTGTCTCGCGTCCGCCGAGCAAGATGGGACCCGGCGAGGAAGGCGCGAAGAAGGAGGGCAATCGGGTCCAACCGGCCATCACCGGTGCGGTGGTAATATTAGGTTATGAAAGTTCCGATTACTAGTCGGGACTACCCGTTTAGCCGGAGATGTGTAATTTGAGTTTGATTTCCGACCGGCCGAAAAGTTTCCTCCCCACCAGCTTTCACACGCGCGCCGCCGGAAGCGCAGCTCGCGCGATTCGCAGCCCTCCTGCTCGTCCTGGACCCGCGAGGTCTCCATCGAGCCCGAACCGAATCCCGGTGAATTATAGCCGTCATACCTGACCGACGTTTATTTACCCGGGATAGAAGCCTCGGAATGTGCGGCCAGGGAGAGGAATCGGACTTCTTGCCGCTGGCGACTCATTGGTAAAGCGCGAGTGTCATTTATCCGCAATTGAATGTAAGCGTACTCTGCCTGGGTACATATTCATTTATAAAACAAGTGGGAACGAGTTTTGAGCAATCGATACATTTTTTCGGAAATTTAACGAGGAGGGCTGCGTTTCGCCCCAAGTGCATGCGAGGTCCGGTACAGGTTGGGTCGAATAGGGCGGACCAAGTTTCTTTACGACAAACGCATCTCAAAATCTTTCCGTTGTCTTCGACGGATTACCATATCGCGGAAAGCAAACTTTGGAACATTTTTTCTGAAATTAAAGAGGACGACTGAATTTCGCGCCAAGTGCACACGAAGTTCGGTACAGGTTGGGTCGAATAGGACGGATCGAGTTTCTTTACGACAAACGCATCTCAAAATCCTTCCGTTGTCTTCGACGGATTACCATATCGCGGAAAGCAAACTTTGGAACATTTTTTCTGAAATTAAAGAGGACGGCTGAATTTCGGGTACAGGTTGGGTCGAATAGGACGGATCGAGTTTCTTTACGACAAACGCATCTCAAAATCCTTCCGTTGTCTTCGACGGATTACCATATCGCGGGAAGCGAATTTTTTAAAGCCCTGCATCGCGTGAAAGCCCTTGCTCTCGAAACTTCGACATCGATTCCTGAAATCTCTATCGGGAGTGAAGTAAGCCTCGGGTGAATTATAGCCGTCGCGGAGAACGCCGCGGCGCTGGCCCGACCGGTTATTTACCCGGTCTTAAGAGAGGCATGGGATTTATGAAATCAGCGGATAAAAAGGAAATACAAACGTTAAAAAAATAGAGCTGATCATTTTAACCCTCCGTTTCCCTCCCCGCGGGCCGATACTCCCGTCCGGGAAGTACACAAGTTGACGCCCCTGGACCGACCAGTCATTTACTGGCGCAAGAAGATGTATGAAATCTCTCAGAAATTATGGGCCCGGAAAGTAGCCGAAACACGACTTCGTGCCGGTCGCGGTTGCCTTCTTTTTGATCGATCGCAACTGCCCGATGGTAATTGTTGGTTAAAGAAGTCCGCGGAGGAACATTGAGCTGTTCGAGTCCGGCCGTCGGAGATTCCCAGCAACCTCGACCGGGTAGCTCCCCGGACTACGAACCTAACCTCAAACTTCTCTTCTCTCGTGTCCGAGGTTGCAAAGCGAACCGACCAGTAAACTTCCAAAATTTAATTTCCTAGTGAAAAAAAAAAACAAAAAACTAAGGTCTTGCAGATACAACGTACACCTTCATCTCGGACGTACGATAAGATGACTTCGATAGTTCTCGTGTTGGCCACGTGGATGAAATTTACCTCTCGTCATCCAGAGATCGGAATTCATCGGGGAACGGTCGACGGATCCCCCCGGGGGCGGAAAACGGAGATTACGTTTTCTCAAAGTCGATCGAGAGTCCCGGGAGAGCCGGTCGATCGTTTTAATTCCCTCTTCCTGGGTCCTCTTCCTTTTTCTCTCCCTCCTCGTCCTCCCTCCGACCGTCAGCCCTATCGTCTTACGGGAGTCCGTATCTCCTATCTCGCTCTTTCCTTTCATCTTCGCCGGCCAGCTCCTCTAAACGATCCTATGATGACCTCTTGTGGGTACACATTTCATTTGTCTTGTCACGCCGGTGAAAAGTGACGAGGCACGAGGGCTGCCGACGTGTTTTCGGCCTCCGCCTGAGAACCTGCCTTCCAAAGTGTCGTCCGACTTTTTGCTCCCTTTTCTTTTTTTTTTCTTTCTTTTTTGGTTTTCCTCCTTTCTAGTCCTTTTTTTCCTGTGCCGCACTTCAAGCGATAACTTCGGCACTTCCTTGTCGTGCCCGATAAAGCCGAGGCCACGCAAGTCGGTTTACGAGTCGCGGGTGTTATCTGCTATCGGGAGGATCCTTCGACGAAAGCGAAAGGACGATTCCAGAAAGACGACCGTGATAAAAGACCTCTTCCCTCGGTAATCAGGGTATACGATATCCTTCTTTCCATACCGATTGCCGATTGATCCCATATGATAAGCAACGGGGAAATTTAGGAGTAACGCTCGTCATGAAGATTTATCTAACAATGCATTCGGGATCTCTAACGATTTCCCCCGAATTGCAACATGCTAGGGATTTCCTTCGTATCAGATCTCCCACTGATTGCAAATCATTCTTAACGAGTTTCGTCGTTATCACTAGTTTCGATTGCGATTAAAACGAATCATTTCGTGAGTGAATAACCCCTAACTCATGATCGTCACGATAGGCGACAGATTCACGCATATTCTCAACCCATCACCTGAGTGTATGACGTGTGCCCATGACAGTTTAAATTTTAAGTACCTACATTTGAGTCTGACATCATGAACTCTCACGTGACCAATCACATAATATGCATAACGCAGCATAATAATTATAATCCTCATAAATATCAGAGCAATACGTGCAAGCACCAAACGCGCATAGCTATGTCGCTGCACGGAAAACAAAGAATGGTCAGGGGAGTCGCAACTATGATAACCGTAATAATGTTGCAAGGCATTACAACCTGCACAGCATCTTTTCATGATTAATATTATCATTCCAAACGGTAATCATTCCTGCAACTTTTAAGCACAGCGTCACGGACAGAGTGGAACTTTGGCGAGGTTAGATTTACCCTTCGATGCAATCGATCTAATCGTTTGGGTGGTTAACATCGTTTGGCCATGTTGTTTTAGTAATTGCAACCAAATTATTCTATTTTTCTTTTTCTTTCTTCCGTGTGCGACTCTGAAACCGCGATATAAAGTCAACGGTATAATGTGGGATCCTCCCACATTTGTTCGAAATTTTGAAAAATCTCGGAAGTTCACAGCTGCAGGTGCTTCCGACGCATCTGCTCTGCAACATTGTGCTCGTTGGACAGACTAGTCGAGCGCGTGCGCATGCAGGACTGGAGATTTCTCGCAATCAGGTGATCGCACAGGTGCAGGTAAAAAAGAGCACACAAGAGCCCAGTTGCCTCGAAACATTGACCACGGCGCCTTTCTGCGTAATCCACGTGTATCCACGCGTCCAGATATACGAGGTCACGTACACGCGGCGCGCGCGCACTCTGGTGTGTACTATAAGAATGAGCGAATGCAAAACGCGGCGAGAAAATTACAGAGCCGAGCGGCGGAGCTACCGAGCCAGTGGCCGCCGAGAACCGATAATTTCGAGATCGAGAAACGCAAGTGATTAATGCGCCCACTTAATTTATTCATTCCCCCGATTCCGACTCCTCGAAGTTCGGGTTAGGAAGGCGGGAGTGAGGTTAGGTTAGTTTAGGCCGGCCGGCCGGCGACGAACGTTTGGCGGGTAATTTGAGTTCCGACCGCCCAAATCCAATACATTGTTGCCCGGTAAGATGAATTCCCGCAAAACGACTTCTCGAATATTTTAAGGGCTCGCGTTTCCTCGGTCACGCCATCTGGCGGCGCGGAGGACTAACTCCTACCTTCTAGGGTGGAATTTTGCGAGATTGCACGGCATAATGATTTCTTCAGCGCGAATGCTCCTCGGCTCTCTTTCTTCTGCTTCGGGGTGTATACGCGATGAATGAGGAAAAATAAAAAGGAAGGGACTTCGGGGAGCGGTCGTTAGGGATTTAGGTTAGTTTCGCCGGGATTAATTCGCCCGCGGAAACGCACGGAGGGGGCAAGGTTGGCGCAACGCAAGATGGCGCCGGACTGTTTAGTTTGCGGAAAGGCGGATAGTAAATAGGAAAGCCGGGGGATAAAACATCGACTTCCAACAATTTTCAGGCCTGCCCCGCGCTTGGCTCCTATTATCCGTATCGCGTGTTGCAATCAGACAATTCTAAACTACACAGTTAAGACAATGATCTCCTCCGTAGCAAGTTAGCCAATCGCTGGGCGATACAAGCGCGCTGTTAGCTAATAATCGTGAGAAACAAAAATCCCTGGCAGTTCTTTCGCCGTCTGCGGTTGCCCACTTGGGAAAGACTCGGCCGACCGATTGGATTGCTAATATTATCCCAAATTTTCGATATTTTCACGATTAGAAAGCTGTTTGGATCTCCCAAATCGATTATTTCCCCGACCACTCGCGCGAGGAGTACAATAATGCCGGTAGAAGTGGAAATGTCTGGACGGCAAGATGGCGCATATCGCGTCACCTCGAAAGTTTGAGTACCTCTCACATCGTAAGAACGAGTGCACGGAGGATAATACCTACATGGGCGAGTTCGGGAGAGCTGATACATTATGCCGGCGTGTAATAACATGCAACAACTATGACCGGTCGAGTAGTATATAATTCAAGCGGTATCGCTCTTCCGAATGCCTAATTGCAGAGTCTGACTCACGGCCCCGCCCGGCGTCCGCGCAACGACCAATCGGAGAGGCTCCCCCCTAGCGGCAAAATTACTTACGAATCTCGTGCAGCGCGCATGACGCGTGTACGCGTACTTATATGCATTCCAACCGGCGTCGCGCATTGCAGGCTCTCGAGATACGGCGGCCGGCCGCCAGGAATTCCTACTCTCAGGAAAGGGTTAGGTTAGGTTAGGTTATATCTCGGCGCAGAAGGCGTACGTTTCCTCCAAGGCTCACGCCACGACGTTTACTCACGCGAGCGCAGGATTACATAACCTCCCTCCCCCGAGTCGTGACTCCTTGCGTCGCCGGGCGGCCATTTTGCAAAAATAATAGATGTCACCTGTCCGTGCCACGCCGGCGGAGGGATCGGTAAAAGGAAAACCTCAAACTTCGGCGAACTCGCCGAGAAAAGCCGCGCGGAATCTTCGAGGTGGACGACTCGCGCATATACATGGCGGACGACCGTGTGCGCGCGCAACGCGGAAGGCTCGAAACGCATGAGTTAATAGATGGGGTACACAGCAGGAAGACGACTAGTGATTGAGTACTACTTTTTAATAATTATCTTTTTAACTCACCGTCTCCAAGTTTGGGTTCATCCTCGGGATCGCGTCCTCGAAGAAGCCGGGAAATGGCGGACACGCTGGGGGCGCTCGTCCTGTCGCAGATGCCCTCCTTGATAAGTCGATCCCGGATCTCCCAGGAAAATATCCCGGGGTTGTCCCTCTTGTATTCCTCGATTCGCGCCTCGACTTCCGGCGTCGCGACGCGCGGCTTACTTCCGCCGATCACTCCCGGTCGGATACTTCCGGTCTCCTGGTAGCGGTTCAGGATTTTCGACACGCAGCCATGGGACACCCTCAATTGTCTAGAGAAATAAGGATGCAGATTCAAAATGGCGTCTCGATTACACGTTTGCCTCTATTTAACATCGTTTCCGTGGCGTGACTCATGTTAGGTCATCGATTTGCGAACGTAAACTCGATTAATGTCTCACATGGGAATTAAAAGCGAGTTATAAGCCGCGTGGAGGTCCGTATCTACTGAGCGGAAATTATGCTTCTTATTTTCATACCAAACACTCGATACTTGTAATTATACGGATCTCTAGTCATTAGGACGCCATCGTTCGTCCCGCGACGCAGACTTACCTCGATATCACGCAAGGCCTGACACCAGCGGCGGCCATTTCTACGATTTTCAGCCGAATGTGATTGGGCAATGGCCGCCCGTTAATAAAAACACCCCCGAGTTGATTGACGCGGCCCTGACCCGGTATAGAACCTAGATCTGAAATGGAACAAGAAGAATTCATTAGACTTTTTCCGCCAAAACCGAACGCTCGGTGGGGCAAATGTCGGTGCGCGATTCAAATTTCGCGCCGAAGGCCGCCGCCGCCGCGGCGAGACTCCCCACCTCGAGTTTTCTCCCGTTACTTTTGGGACATTTACCTCACATTAGAACGTCCCATTTACCATCTCAAAACGGTTGAACGTGAAACTTCCGAACCCCCATACACGATTTTAATTTAAGCCATTCCTTCTTTACATTTCCATGATTATTAAATTCCGTTTTCACAATTTTTCTCCACCTTGTTTTCCAAGGCCCTAATGAGTAGTAACCGCGCGAGATCGTTAAAACCGTGCCCGAGTTTATGCAGATTTAAGCCTCTCGAACCAATCGGCTCTCGGTCGGAGATTCCTTTCAGCAGCCGGAAGCGCGGACTAATTAATTCTCGAGTCTAACAACGGCTTTATCGTACGTAACCTCGAGGGGGGCCCTCGGAGCCGTAGAGTCGTAAGTGTCAGTGCCGTTAGTGCCGATAAGTCGAATGAATCTGAAGGTTTACGACGTACGACAATGATAGCGTACATAATCCGCCCGGGTTATTTCGTTCCGCGACATCGACCGACTTCCCACTCGGCAGAAAATCCCGTAGCAAAGTTGCACGATTATTTCAATTTGTCGTTAAGTATTTCTTTAACGAAATTCACGAGTCGACTAAACCCCAAGGTTAACGGCCGTTGATAACGGATTTGTTTCGCGAGCGCGCCGATTAAAAGCCATCGCTCGATTTGCTATGCGAATATCGAGGAGAAACATGCCCACTGTTTACTCTGTCCTCCTTTTAGCTCTATAGGATTATTTAACAAGGTCGGCCATCTTGGAAAGAGAACTGCAAGGCTGCCAGGAAGCGTTACGTTCTCCTTACCGCCGTCGGGTCGGTGTTTCCTTCAATTGCAAAGTGTCCAGACACGGTAAAGGCTTAATTGCCTTCAATTGAAAACAAACATCGCTATTAAGATCGATAGAAAAAGGCACGTATCCACCGGCAATCACTGAAACTTGGATAATATTAAAAAAAAAAATGGCCACTAAAAACGTGCCCACTAACCTCTATCAAAGATGGCCGACGGTAGGGGAACCGAGTAGCCCTTCACGAGACACCTTTTAAATTAATATCTCCCCCACCCCGAAAATTCCATCGCAGCCTTACACGCCATTATTTATTATACTTCTTCAAAATCAGGATTAAAAATGTCCAAGCGAAGTTAAGTCCAGTTTCCCGTTAGGCATGACTCTTTTGACTTCTGCCAACCCAGATATGAAAAAATCACCCGTTAGTATCCGAGAGGAAAAAAAAAGAAAAAAGATACACAAGGCGTCCCTTTTTTCGAAAGCTACGTCGGGTCCTGCAAAATTCTGAAATATGGCCCTAAAAGGCAGGGCCCCCAAAATTCCGAAACTCTGGAGGCAAGGACCTCGTCAGTTTTTCCGACCTCCGGAGATTTTCCGCCACTCTGGCGACAATCACTTACAAACCGGTCGATTTCACGGCTCGTTTTTGGGAAATCTTCGAGCCGCTTTTAACGACATCCAGTGCCTCTCGTCCAAGCCGAACGGAGCATGGGAAACGCTGGACCTCGTCAAAATTACGCGTTTTGATTTATGGGGGTCATTAATGGAAATGTTCCGCTCGTTTCGGGACAGGTAAGGTTATATATCAGACTCGGGATGGGCCCTCGCATTGTCCGAGGTCATGGTCCCAGGGACTTTTCCGAAACTCGATGCGACCCAAAACCATAAACCACGCGTGCGCGGCGCAAGCCTCAAGATATTGAAAAATTCGTTTCCTGTCCGAAAACCTAGCCAGAGGATTTAAAAAAAAAATCGCGAAGAAATAACGCCGAGGAAGAAAATAGATTGTTATATTAAAAAGAAAAAAAAAACACGGTACGTAAACTTAAAAGTCGTGCGAATCATGGATTGTTATAACTACCAACATATACCGTCTAGGAAATGTGAAGGAATAGTGATGAAAATTTTGTTTAAAAATACTCGTAGTTACCGTATTAGTAATACTCTTTTCATTATGCTAAACGATATATGTGGTTATTAGTTATGCACAACTTCGGTTCATAGATGTTGCTGATTTTTAGCTGGGTAATTATTTATCAAGAGGGGGTTAAAATGTTACGGTCCGGAGGGATGAATTCGAACGTACCTTGAAACGGGTATCCAGTGAAGCATGGTCGCATCATCGAGAAGTTAGTCGTAACCGTCATCTCACGATGTCCGAGACACGTTTCGAGTACCGTCCGGTCAACCCGAAAGGAACCACTTCACACACAGCGCCACCTTGAGAGATCGGAACTGGGGCTCGCGCCGATAGAAACCAGTTCCGGTGTCCGGAACCACCGACGAATCTAGCTGGACCGCGGTAATCCCCAAAATGAATTTCCAGGAATACCGCGGAAGCACTTCGAGACGGCTGCTAATCCCTGAAGTGGTCTCGATGGTTAACGGTCGTCGATTGATCGGTTGGTACCACTTTTGAACGGCTTGGAACTAATCCTCTCTCTTGGAGATCGAATTTGAAGAAAGTCGCCCCACGGTTCGGAGCAGGTGTTTCGGACCCAACGTCCCCAGCATCCACGGTCCAGAACAGGTGTTTGTGATCTCGTTCGCCGGACTGTCCGGACCAGTCCGAGCGGCGGGTCGAAATCGGAGTCGAATCTTGTGGAAGTCCCAGGAAGGATGTCCGCTTCTCGAGACACGCTGCGAGGAGTTTCCTCTCCGGGATGGAACAGGTGGCGAGAAGAGCGGGCCCGAAGCGAGGGGCCTTCCCGGAGGAGAGACGGACGGCCTGGGACTTGTCCGGTCGGTTTCCTGAGCCTGACTGAGCCTACTTGGGTCAGGTTCTTGGGTAACTAGGGTGAAGCCACGCCCCCAGGGGCCGCCGCCGGTTGGCCGGCCCGAACCGCGGAACGGGGGGCGGGCCAAACCGGAACTGCCTGTTCCGGTTCTGGTTCGACCAATCGCGGCGCCGCTCCTTGCCTGGCCCCGCCCCTCTCGGCGGTCCTGCTCGAGCCTGGCAGCGCGCCGGAACACCTTTATCGAGCCCAGCTTTTACGAGCAGGCTCCATGCTTCTTGTGCCGCGTATACTCCGTACCGTACGTATGCACCTATGCACCCGTCGCGCCCGACGCACGCCGGTATGTACATACGGAGCGTGCACGCGCTCGTGCGACTCCTTTTGCCCTGGCTTGTGCACATGAACGGGAACACGCGTCCACTTTTTACCCCCGCAGGCGCGTTTCCATTTTGTCTCGCGTATCGGAAGTGGGTATAACGAACACCTACAGAACCCAGATATGCGTCCGATGAAAAACACTCGTCCCGCATCCTTCCGAGCACCCTGAGAAAAATCGATGGGAATTTACATACATTTTTACACACTGTATAACCGATGTTTTACATAAAAGAACGTAAAGTGGAAAAGTTACAGATCAGAAGACGTACAGATGCAGATCGCATTGTATATTTATCGCATTAGTGACCTTTTAATTGAATCAAATGTAACATTATATTGTAATTTTTTTCGTAGCATGTATGATCTTTATCATATATGTACATTTACAGGTTACCTCATAAATTTACATATTGATGCCTATGAATACCTGTTTCCGTGTAAAAATACATATTAGTGTTTAAGGTAAGGCGTATCATACGTAGTAATTAAGCGATTTAATTATTCGGTAAGAGATTGCGTGTTTAGAAGTTACAACCGTAAAATATTATTGAAGCATGTCTGCAACTACATAAACCAAAATACTGTTTTGAAATGTCCTTTGGTTGAAGTGTGTAAATTTAATCATAAAGAGTTTAGCAATGTAAACATTACACGGCACAGTTACGCTTTGTATGTAACATTACACTTGATGTTTATATATCAAATGAACACCTACAATACATTTTTCTGTGTAAATTTAGACGCTGAATATGATATTACACAGACAATGTACTTTTGCGTTATTTATTACGGCATCAAAATAACCAATGATCTAGGGTGTAAACGTACATGGGAATTTTTTTTCAGTGCAGTCTCATGATTAAATAGCGACTTCGGAAGCACGCTTTGGGAATATTGAAACTCCTCTTCCGAGCTGCCTTATTGGCCGGCCTGGTAATCCCGGCAATAAAGATCGGAGTGACGTCACCGCGGCGGCCATTTTCACCGCGCGGCCAACTTCAGGCGTGACGTCGACACCACCGATTCACTTTGACCCATTTTGACGAGTCTCGATCGTTGTCATCGACACGAGACAAAAGGAGCCTGTTCACACACGATTGCCGATTACCAATGGGGCCTCCTTTTTTTTTCACCCACGAAGCACTTCGTTCCTCGTTTGCTGAGGAAATGACGATGCACAGGATGCGGGACAAAGAGGGCCCTGACACAAGATGGCGGCCGCAAGCGTCAATTTCTGTTTCTGGCCAATCGAGTGTGGCGATACACCCATTGCGTCGCATCCGCAGCCTCGAGGTTGCTGGCGGAGCTTAGGAAAAACTTCACCAACTTGCCTATCGGGTGGTGTGCGTCTTTTTCGCCGATTTCCCTTTCAGCGTTCCGGTAGGCATCCGATTTGCGGTGACTTGCCATCCGACCACCTCGAAAGTTTTTCCTCGTCCTGTGCCTCATCCAAACGTTGAAATCACTTGGAAAAGTCGTAACATTGTTTAAAAAAAGTGAGATTGCTTACCTATCGGGTGGTATACGTCTTTTCCGTGGATTTTCCTTTCAACGTTCAGGTCGACTTTTGATTTGAAGTTTGGTCTGATCATGTGCCTCATCCAAACGTCGAAATCGCTCGGAGAAGTCGCAACATCGTTAAGAGTGAGTGAAATATTTTTTTTAAATTGCACACTTCTACGAAAGGTCGAAGCTCAAAAGTATCTACGTTGCCGTGTCGCAAATTGGGACCGGTTCCATGAAATCCTGCATTCATCGGCATTCCCGAGTAGACCGATGGCCAGGGACCAAAAGGCGAAAGAAGAGGACCCGGCTGATGTTTCATCAATGTTTATTATCTGTCGGTGTTGTGCCTCTTCGTGAGCTCGGACCCGGGAGAATTGGCCAAACAGAGGCGCGGGTACGACACGCATTAACCCGGAAAACAGGGAGACTTCCCTCGGGAACCCCCGAAGAGCGTTAACGCGCCGTTACTCGGCCCTGTCGAACGACGTCCCGTCGTGCAAGGAACTGGCCAAACAAACTTCTTAATGTCTTCATGCTCCTCTTCGGGGTCTCCGGCAGCTTCCACCGGCGGTAGGACCCCGGATGACCACAGGCCAAGGGACCGGCCAAGAAGGTGCCGCTTTTCACGGCAGAGCCGTCTCTTCAAGGTCTTCTTCGGGTTCACCTCCGATCCGGCCATCCCCATTTATCCGATGTTAATAAAAATTAAACCCGAGGGACCATTTAGGCATCGTGGCGCTCGGCTGGTATAGATTCCAGACTCCGGGGACGAAGAGGCGAAGATTTGCCCCTCGGGCCGCCATTTTGGTACCTGCGAGTACAGGACGAGTCCGTTAAGCCGTAAATAATTTTGCGAACGGCTCACCCCTTTCGGGAAGCCGGAGGCGTAAATAGGCATAGCCATAAATATCTGGCCTCGGTAATGAATCTACATGAAGATGCGGTTCGATGCCGGCCATAAATTCAGGGTTTTCGTGGATCGGCCAAGTTGCGGTTTCCGGATGTTCGGGGGGAAACACCGTGTCTGTGGTCAGCGATGGCATTGTCGACTCATCGAGTCTTGTCATGACCATTCCTATGGAGAAGCAATTTGACACAGTCCTCTAGCCGCCGTTCATTTCCTTGCCCGAAACTTCGACTTTCGGACAATCGACGTGAAAAATAACCAAACTTGTTGATTCTAGGATCCTAATCTATTATCAATAGTTCCCTGAAATATTCTCGCCCGGTTACAGTGGAATTGACCCAAAGGGCTATTTCCTTGGAAATCAGTGAAAACGATTTTCTTCTTTAAGAACCGATTGCCTTTGATTTCATATCATAAACAACAATGCGATTCGGTAACAAGTTACGTTCGGCCTTAAAATTGTGACAGTATTTCGGTAATTTTTCTATCGATTTCCAGTGATTTCCCCTTGCGATTTCCACCTGATTTCTGCATCATCTCAAGCGTTGAAATCAATGATTTCCTGAGCGAATACCCCCTCGAATTGACCCTTCTTTCTATGGATTTAGTGACATCTATTGACATTCCCACGATTGAGGGAAGCACGAATCGATCCGGTGCATCGAACGGAATCGAAGATCGATACTTCGCGGATCGGAAACGATCCAGATTTTCGATTTACTTCGATTTCTAACGGGTTCTAGTTCCGTTTCTGTGCTTTCTTCATTCCAGATTTATCCATCTCTACAACCTGAGTATTAATTATTATCGAGCAAGGTCTATTACCGTGAAAATCGACTTCGCCGTTTTTCGTAACCTCCAAAGATCGTTTTTCCTAACGTCCAAAAAGTCGGACTATTCGAAAAGAAACGAGGACATGGGTTTTGCGTCCCAAAACAACTCATTTTGGCGTCCCTCTCGGCACAAAAGTGGAAGGAATAAAAAAATTAGGCGTCTCTCAAAAAGTGGAAAAAACGAGCACGCCCGCAGTTAAGAAAAAAATTGTTCCATCACGACGTTTTCGAAACAGATAATCTGAATACCCCAAAAGTCATCAGCATGTCTTCCGGAGATCGCCTCAAGAAAAGCGTCCTCACCTAGAACTGCACTCTTAAAAAATCTGTCTCCAACCTCCTCCCCATCAACAGGCCGACTTTTTAGCATTTTTCAAGGCTTAAAAATGGCCAGAAATTTTTTGCTCCCCGAAACTCCACCGTTTTACCGTTTTTTGCCCCGAAAGACCCGGGAACGAGTCGCAAAAAAGGGCGGGCAACCCTTCCAGCACTTAATCTCATAAAAGGGGGTTAAAAAAAATCGGGAGGAAAAACTGGGTTCCGAAAAATTCAGGAAAGGCCCCCAGTGGCCGAAAGATCAGTTCTTTTTTTTTTTTTAGGAGTCGATTTTTTGCCGACGAGCGCTCTAAGAGACTCGGGAAGGTCCTTCTACCGGCATCCCCTGCGGGGATGTTGACAGCCTCCCAGCGGTGGACCAGCGGGAGGTCCGGGACGCATCCCGAAGGATCCCCCGCAGGTCCCGCAGGTCCTGCGTCCTGGACAATCAGCGCGAGGACGTCTCCCGC